GCCCAAGCCCCGGTGCACCAATCTACAGCTATGGTGCCGCACGCGCAAGCCCCGGTGCACCAATCTACAGCCATGGTGCAGCGCGCCCAAGCCCCCGCGCACCAGTCTACAGCCATGGTGCCGCGCGCTCAAGCCCCGGTGCACCAATCTACAGCCATGGTGCCGCACGCCCAAGCTCCGGGCCACCCGGACAGAACAGCACCGCCCGGGCCGGACCTGGCCTGCAACGAGTGCTCGCTCACCTTCCCGTCCCGCCTGCAGCAGGCACGCCACCGTCTCTCCTCGCACGTGGCCCCTGCCGAGCACGGCTGCCCCATATGCGGCATGAAGTTCCTGACGCGGTCGCGACAGCGCGTGCACCTGGCGCGCTCGCACCGCGTCCTGCGGCTGGCGTGCCCGCACTGCACGGCGCGCTTTCCGTCGAGCCTGCTGCTGGGCGCCCACCTCCTGGTGGACCACACGGCCGTGATCCGCGCCCTGCCGCATCCCTTCGCCATCGAGTGCCCCGTGTGCTCGGAGTGGTGCGTGTCGGCGGGCCAGCTGACGGCGCACGTGCGGGCCTTCCACCCGGGCGCGCAGCCCATGCACTGCGCCATGTGCCCGCGCGCCTTCAACAACGTGTCCTCGCTGCTGCTGCACCACCACGGCCACCTGGCCGCCATGCGCCGGCAGCACTGCGGCGTGTGTGGCGTGTGGTTCCCCGCGCAGGAGCTGGTGCAGGCCCACGAGCGCGCCGAGCACAACCCCCGCGTCTTCCGCTGCCCCGTGCTCAAGCCGAGCCGCTGCCGCGAGGTCCTGCCCAGCGCCGAGGCCCTCGACCAGCACCTGGCCGCAGCGCACCCCCGGCGGCGGCCGTACTCGTGCCGGTGCGGCACGCACTTCAAGAACCTCCACGACCACCTGGAGCACGCGGCAGAAACGCTGCACCAGGCCGCTCTGCCGCCCACGGGCGGGGAAAGCCTGCACGTCTGCAAGGCCTGCCTCATCGTGGCCGAGGACCCCATGAAGATCAGGGACCACGAGGACACCGTGCACATGGGGCTGCTCCCATTGGACCGTGTGGCGCAACTCCTTACGCTGGTCCAGGATGCTGTTGTGATTAAAAACTCTTGAATATTATATATTCTGTTGCATCGTAGTAGACCAAGATGCCTAAAATTTTTCTCTAATGTGATTTGTTGTGATTGTTTGCAAATTTTATTGTCTTAATTTTATTGAAAACTTCTTGAATCGTTTTACTTGCTCCTTAAGAACTCTTAAAATATTTTGTGCGTAGTGTCATTCATTACATTCTCATGTTGTATCTAGTCGGTAAGCTACCGACCTTCCAGCATGTTCAGAAATGCAGAGAAGTCTATTACTTAACTGATTCTGTTTTAGAAAAAAATATTCACCTATCATTCTGTTATGGATAACGTAAATCATTTGCCCTACCAAAGAAGCATAGAGCCAAATATCCTTTTTGATATTATCAAAGAAGAGAAGTTTGTAATCAGTTTGGCTGGAAAGTGTGTTAACTTTAGATTTTTGCATGCCGACTTCTTTTAGACTGTTGTCAGTATTATTAAGTGAACGCTTTATTTGTACCAAGATCTCTACATTAGGTGTAATGTCTTTTCTTTGTCTGAATATTATATTATAATTAAGCCCTGTTATACAATAAATTTCCAGAGCTGTGCAACTGTATTGATATACTTTCATTAAAGAAGAAAAGTAGTTAGCAACTACCTAGTCTGGTCACTAATTTTTTCTTAATGGTGCTCTTTAAAGTTTATGAGGATAAACCATTGTAGAGATGACACTGTTTGAGGTTAAAAATTCGTGTATATTTTGTGTACAATTGGTGTAAAGTTTTGTTTTGGTAATTAAAAAATCATCCCATAGATTGAACAGTATTTAATCACCATTGCTGTTTTGAACCTTTATGAAAATTGATATTACATTTGCTTTGAGAAAGGAAAACTATTATTTTGAAGTCTTATTCTTGTTAGATTTGAGCCATTCTCTTTCAAACCTCGTTGCACCTTTGCGGACCCCTGCATGCCTCGAGGTAGGCAACCCAACGGGCGGGCGCGTTGCGCGTGAGGGGTGCATTGAGGCGCCTTTCGCTCGCCCGTGGAGCACGCCACAGCCTGAGCGCCCGCTCGACCAGCGGCGGCACCCACAGCCTCGGTGCGGCGCGCACTTGCGCAGGAACACGCAGTTGACG